TGCCTACTATAGATGTTTTGACACTTATTAACCGAAGAAGCTAATAAGCCATAATATTGCATATATTAAAAAAAAAAAAGAAAGAATCGCCTGCCCTATTTGGTTTCACAGCAAGCAAGAGCCGTCTTTCTTTTGTTCCTAAGAAAAATCGTGGGGTGATGTTAGAGCCAACCATGCATCATGCCAATACCAATTGTTAATTTAAAGTCAAAGAATGTATAGGGTGGGCCGTTTATCTTGGTAGAATATCTTATCTCAGTTACAGGTTCAGGTGGAACTTCTGTCAGAGTATGGTGCGCTATTAGGAGGTTCAAAATAATAGGTCCAAGTATTTATTGATCAGAATGTAAATTCACAACGCTACTGAGAGCTTGGCCACCAAGGAGCAACAACTTCACTAACCTAAATTTTTTTCTATGGGGTACACCTAAAGATTTAGTTCATATTCACAATCCGTCAACTGCCGAGGAACTTAAACGTTGTATAAGAGAAGGTATCGGATGTTTAAATGGGATTGAAGATGTTAGAAATGCCATTATGTATTTAAATTATCCTTTGTAAGCTATTAATTTTTTATTGATTATTAATTAACAAAAAAAAATCACCAACGTTATCGCTTATCCTTGGTCTTATTCTGTATAAATAATGCATACATAATCTTTGGATCTTCTTAGCGTATCGGCAAGATTATGGTCAACTATGAAATGGTAAATCATAGTGGCAGTACTTTAGCACTTGTTTTGTTCAAACACCGTCATAGACACCTTACACTATCTGAATTTATATGGCAACAGCATATTATTTGTGATAGGCAAATGTTTAAAAGGAAATATTTCAAAAAGTAAAAGCATTAGGCATATACAACCATATATAAAATGGCCTTAATTTTTAATGCTAAACATGAAAAGATTATAAAAATGTTTAGTTTCCATTAAAAAAAAGTTTTTTGGCAGTTTTTTTAACTTTATTTTTAATGTTATTTTTCCGTTATCCGTGTTATTCGAGTTTTTCGTCAACAACAAAACTTAGTCAAATGAAACAATAAACGTTTCCGAATGAACATTATTTTTCGCATAAAAAATTGAAAATATCAAAAACGGTTAGACTTAGGTATAGGACATTATACCAAATATCTCTATTAAAAATAAGAATGTTGAGACTCGCCCATGGAAAATGAAACACCCTGTATATACAAAATTAAAATAAAATGAAATTTTATAATACCCAAATTAACTTTTGTATTTAACTTTCTATTCTTTCTATGTATTTAAATTTCCATCTACTTTAAAGAACTTGTCCCTATTAAAAAAAATAAAGGAAAAAAAGCTCATCGTACGATAAATGAGTATTTATTTGCAAAAATCGTGCCCACATGAAATGTGTTATGTTATGGTAATTGTGTTGGACAATAAGATCAACAATATGCTTGTCATTTTTTAAATGATTAATTAAATTTACCTAGCAATTGTGATCCCCAGAATTCACCACCCACTACAAAAATTCCCCGATTTTTCTTAGTTTTCTTATAATTTTAAAAAATTAGTTTGAATTCGTTTCTTCTATAAAAATGCAAAAGAATACAATTTTTCATTTAAAAAACAATAGGTTCAAGTTTTCTCTGCCGTGGTATAAACGATACTATTTTTGTCCCTAACAGTTAAGGGTTAAAATTCAGAATGTATTAAATAGACACCTACTTTATATAATAAGAAAGTAAAGTAATGTATGTAATTGCAAATTGCAAATTGATCATTTTTTTTTCAAGTATTATAAAATGAAATTTATAAAAGCCTTATTCGCCTATTCGTCGATCCTTTCTATAAATAATCCCACTTTGAATAACAGTTCTTACCGGTATCGGTAAAATATTCACCCTAATTTCGCTACATCCTGTTTTTTCTACATTTAATCACCCCCTTGTAATAACGACCGGCTGAGGCAGGCAACATTCGCTGTCAAAATACCGATAAGAACCACTTGAGAAAAAGAAAAATAAACGACAGTCTTGATATGAAAACTTACCCCATCACAAATAAAGTGGAGAGGGCTCTCGGGAGGACTAAAAAAAATAGGGTTTAAAAATATCTTCGGTGGAGCACAATGTCTTATTGTCGAGTTGTTTTAAAATTGTATTATGCAGGGTGTTTCAAAATTGAATTTCAAGACTTTAATGACGATTTTTGACGTCCAATTATAAACATGTATCTGCAAACATTTTGTGACCGATTTACAAAGTGTTGAATGATAAACAAATTAAAACAAAATTAACGAATAAACAAATTAAAACAAAATTAACGAATACACGATTACGCATAACCCTACTTAACTATTACTTCTTCAAGAATTTTAATTAAAGTTAGCGAAAATACATTGCAAGAGAATTTAAATAAAACCCAAAATTAATTTGTTTTGTGGAATCTACCAGCGGCCTACCGCAAAAAAACTCAAAGGGGCATGGCAGCTAAAAAAAGTATCTTCCCATAATTTTATTTTGCTTCTAGCTTACCGACATGTTTATATTAAAACGGAAACTTACGTTTAACCACCCAGTCAAACAACGGATCGCGTCGGTTTTCAACTACCGACTTTATCACGACCAGTCCGAATTGACGTTATGATGAATATTCAGGTCGGGAAAATTAGGCAGAAAACTTTAGCACATTGGGACTCGATGATGGCAATTGCAAGTTTAAATTGTAAATTGGCACGAAGTTGATATTAACTCGTCGCATCAGCTGGCGCTAAATTATGCAATATTTTAATTGTTCGAAATTATCCCAACCCGCTGTTATTACTGTCACGAAATTATTGCAACGTTAGGGGGTAAAACAGTTATTTATAATTGAAGCTAGACAGCAAGATGCATGTGGCTACATAATAATGATTAAATAAATGAAATGTGATTAGCAGAACATTCTTTAAAATTTTGAACAAGTGCAATTAATATAATAATTTTGAGTGTCTAATTGAGAGATGGGCAAATGCCGACTATAATGTTATAAAAGTCCGATACTGAAAAACTGAGATAGCTAGTAGATATTATAGAAGCTTTGTCTACTTCAAACTTCAAAAAAATTTTATGTTCAATATGCGCAAGCTTTTTCAAAAACTTTACCAATAAGTTTTGTCAATTCAAATATCAACCAACAAGAACTTGGGGCATTCAATAATCAACATGGCCGCTGGCAGTTTGTCGGTTTCACAGTTTTCAGTTTGAATATGGGAATACTTTGCGAAAATGTGCTACATCCCATCAAACCGTCCGTTTTGATGAAGACACTATTCATAAACCTTATAACTTTAAACTTTATAAATTATGTTTCGACCCGAGTCGATTTTATACTGCCAACTCTGTTTTTTATAAATAATTATTTTGACTAGAAATCTTTCAACTATGTAACAATAAATGCGTCATTTATAATATGTTGGCGTTGTAAATATTAGGGCCTCCTTGTAGGTATTAATTAGTCCGTCAGCTTTTAAATATTCTTCTTAACTGTGGTGATGCATGAATGATATTATAGTTAAAGTTCGCCGTACGATATACCGGTTCACAACATTTTGTGGTTTTGACTTCGGAATGAGTTTAAGACCAGCCTGTTGTAAAGCGGAAGGGACCATTCTTTTCAGCACGTCTGCCACAATCCAGGCCTGTATTTAAGATGTAAGATGAAATTTTCTTTGATTAAACTGTCATAATAATTCATATTAGTGTGCTTTTTATAAATCTTCCTAAAACAGTCCCTACTTGAGGTATCTGGATTTCAGTATTTGGAAAAATTTTCAGATGTGTTGCAAACCCATTACCATCTAAAACTGCAGAAAATAAAAAAATAAAATTTGGTTTTGATTATTCTTCCTATGTGCCAACTTGGAATTTAAAAATTAAATTGATTCGTAATTGTTATATGATAATATAAAATTTTCGAAAACTTTATACATTCTTGTCTAAACTTAATTATTTAAAATATGAAAAATCACAATTTTATTTTCTGCAGTGTGTGAAAGACGTTGAAGTACAAACCTCCCAATCGTGCTTTTTGCAAAATTTGTTGCACAATATTGTTGCAAAGTCACTCGTTTCTTAACCACTCGCGCCGCTGGTGTTTATTTAAATTGAATTTTTGACAACTTGCGTGGTTTAAAGAGGTAAAAATGACAGCACAAAAAGTGCTGTAAATTTATATTTTTCTGAACTTTTAACTAAGTGATCTAAATATTTACCACGGAAAATACCTTAATGATAATAAACAATTGAGTCTCCAGAATTGCAGGACCGGCTCTTTGTCGATCGGAATCGAACGGAAGTGGGTGAGAGTCTTGCGACATTCCAAAGGTTTCCGCTAGATTAAGCGCACGTAACGTAGCTGCACTATCTCTTTTCACACTAATTAGGCATCAACGGGAGGAAAACGAAAATGTAAAGATAATAACGGAGGACGTGCGCTGTGGCTGGCTTAACGCCGATGTTCCTCCCAAATTTAAAGATGATTCGGGGAATTCGAGTTTAATCGTTCGAAAGGCTAACGGCCGCTAAAAAATTGTGTGCGCTTCCGGACGGGGCTACGTGTCCCCCTCGTTAACGTTGCCATTTCCATTAACCGGGGGGAGAAAAATTGATTCATTTTTCAGATTTCGGGAACGATTTTCGCCTATTTTTCAAAAATGTTTTTACAACCGCGCTACTTTACCAAATAGATTGATAAAATAGATTTAAGCAAAAGCAAATCGAATATTGATAATATAAATTACAACACCGTGAGATCAAGGATCAAGATCGCGTTGCAAAAACTTGTATTTTGAAATTAAAGTTTTTAAAAAACCAAATGGCCGTCGCTTGAACATAAGATCCAAAAGATCAGAAACTTACCTTATAGTATAAAATTTGTTTTGGAATTTGGATTAATGAGATAGGATTGACACGATTTCTCTCATATTCCGTTAAACGAATGGTTTCATGTTTCGTACGTATTTTGAAGAAATGCATTTTCTTATTTCAGAATCGCTGTCAGCAATATCAGAGCACGATAGCCCGTCTCAATCTGGAAATAGCCACTCTACGACAACAATTAGAAGAAGCCGGACGAGACAATAATCCCGAAGGAATCCTGCAAGCTCACACGGCCGCATTGCAACGACACGCGGAAGAGTCCAGGAAGCAATACGAAAAGTGCTTGGACGACGTCGCCAATCAGGTCGTTAAGGCGTTGTTAGCCCAAAAGGTAATTGCAATGAATTACATTTATGAAAAGAAAAAGGAAATTAACAGTATCCGCAAATAAATCTAAAATGACTAGGAATATTTTACTTAATTTAATACAATTTATAAGAATGGAGACTGTGGATGGCCAGTTAGAGATTAATTAATTAAGCAAAAATTTCTTTAATACATTTGTATTAGTAACATAACGCATACCAAATATCAAAACTCAAAACTATTTGCAATAAATAATTCAAGTTGTGACACCTGGCTATTTCTTTTTAACGACACTAAACGCGCGGGAATGATTGTGACGTCATACCGCTGCTTTTCGATCGATGCGGCGACATGTTATAGTGTTATTCTCATGTTATAGGCCGAGAATTATATTACATACGTTTATTTTTGGCTCGTGTATAGGTGTGTTTGTATTTAACCCACCGCAGTTTGCATTTGTGCTTAGTGTGCTTTAAATGATAATCATGGAAGCAACCCGTAAAACGCCAGATAAACTTTTTATTTGTCTGTCAGAAAATAAAAGCCGTCGTTTTTTGTTAGCATTATGTTTAGATTAGCCTTTAACCGTGCAGACATTTTTAACTCTTCGCACTTGCACCCATCATATTAAAGTCTCCATAGGAATGGCTTCCTGATCTATATTAAATAAAGAACAGTTTAAGTTATCAATGCCAATGTACTTTGAAATCTGTAGTTAGGTTTCGACTGGTTTAAAAAAAATCTTTTTGTTTTTTTTTTGTTGAATAATTTACATTTTATTTGATATACCATTTCAATTTTAAAAACCAGAAAATTTTAAGTTTATTACAATATTATATTAGTTTACAACCTGCGGCTAAATTTTCTATCAATATATCTTTTAGCTTTTGTATTTAAGTTGCCACCATAAACATATCCTCAAAAGGGAAATTTTCAGATTGACCTTTTAAAAAATCGTCTTCGGTCATTTTCAAAATTTTATTTTTGATAATAAACACAACAAAATCAAGCGACAGGATCAAGGCGTTGTTCTCTAATGGATTCTCTAAGCTACCCTCCGGCTGGCGCGTAATCTAATGAGAGAATTGACGTCACAATCGGTCACAGCCAATGACAGGGCGATTCAAAGGAGATTTCAATTTTATTATTTTTTATTATTTGATATATGAACTGCGAAATTTTTTTTGTGAACTGTGGTTATTTTAATAGTATTAACTTACTTTTATAAGCAATATTTTTCAAACTAAAATGTTGTTTAAGTTCCGTATTGAATTGTGGGTTTTCCGGACACCACTAGAACCATTTGTGGAATTTTATAACTTTTTAACAAACTTTTCGAGATACTTATTTCAAAAAATAAAATTTGTGAATTCTAGGGGCTTCGTGAAGAAGTCGGTTGCCTAAATAATAAAATTCAAGAACTAGAATCTCAGAACCGCGCCCTGACATCGATGTTGGTTCATCAGCTTCGTGGCGATACCGCAGTTGATCTGGATACGTTCACGGGACCGATGGCTTTAGAAAACGGTGATAATATACCAGATGGCCAAACGGAGATTCAGCAATCGTTGCTATCGACTAGTTTAACCACGAAACATTGCAATTCGTTCAACTCGGATATTCTAGAAGATAGTCCAAACAGTGACAAATGTGATAAAGCTGTGGTATCGAGTATTGATAAGAGATTGTCCGCCGATAGTGTTAGTGTTTTAGGTGAGTCTTCAGTAACTTTCAGGAGTCGTTAAATTAAAAAAAAAAAGAAAAAAGTTTGAGGTTACTTGGAAAAAAAATGCTGATTTTGTAGGTAGATATCAGATTTTAAAAAAGTTTTTGTTAATTTTTCATTTCGTTATAATCATAATTAAATATATATTTGCTATTGTTGTTTCACCAGTTAAGAAAGGAAATTATTTTCATACTAAACTTAAATGAGGTTTCAACTTTTTCGAAACAAGAAAAAGATCAGTTTTTTGGATTTGCTATTTGTTTCGAATTTCTACCTGATTTCAGTCCTAGCTATAGGTGGTATGCTGTGGAAGCAGTAGCTATGAAATAAATTTGAGTCGTTTCTGTCTGTTCTCCAAATAATGCCGAACTAGTGCCGAACTGTCTGTTAAACAAACTACATTTTTGCTCGGATTATTTTGCCACAGAAAAATCAATGTTATTATGTTTGCTCCAGATACTAGATTGTCATTAGAAGATAAGAAAAGGCACCAAATTTTAACTAAGCTGTGGACAGATTTGAAAGGAACGGAGGTCACACCTAAAAAATTACTTGAAGCATTGACAGCAGTTGACTCAGCCCTGTGGGTACCACCGAAACGCCCGGTATCTTTAAACTTGCAATTGCCAATATTACAAACGACAAGATGTCGACGAACACGACCGGTGTTAGGTAGAGATTTAAAGTGAAAATATTCATTTAATTCCTTAAAATCTAATATTCATTTTAGCCCAGTCAAGTTCGAAGAGCGAAGAAGAAACCACTGGCAATGAATCTCCTGAAAGCGGAAATCGGGATGAAGGATATTCCACCATGTCGTCGGACGTCCAGGCAGACGTCACTCGTGGTTCTGGTGACGCAACCTTGCCACATCGAAGTTTAGAGGATCTCAAAGAAGCCAGCGACGAAACTGATATCTCAGACACTCGTCTTCTAGTCACAGATAATAAGGATCCTGATATACTCTACATTCCTCTTAATCTACTCAACTTGAAACAGAGGTTAGTTAATAGTTAGGTTAGAAAGTAGTAGTAATATAAGAACGTAAACTGACAGTAAAATTGAGAAGAAAATTTGATATAAAGTATCGAATATGTAGGGTTACTGAAGATGACAAGAAAATATCTTTTTATATACCGGGTCCCAACTATTTGGAAACGGTATTATTATTAGTTAATGGAGACAGTTGTATCATTTTTAATCAATTAATTAATTTAATTTGGAAAATAATTTAGGAAGATCTGTCTTTTCTGTACTTTTTGTCCTCCTAACATTACGATATTAAATTTGGAATCCGACGTCCCGTTTGTATACTGCCACCATGAATGTATTTGTTAAAATACGGATTTGGTTTTTATTATTTACAAATAAAACTGTCAAAGAAAATCGACTTTTGGATAACAAAAAGTGAACAAAAAATGAAGATCCATATTTACAAAATCGATGTTGATGATTGCTTCTTCGAAAGGAAATGCCGTAAAAAAAATAATAAAACGTTCAATGACTTTTTTCTTAAAATCCCGGTATATTGAGCTTTGGTTTTATTTGATATAAAAACTGAACTATTTTTTTTTGGTCACTCAAAAGCTTTAACAGGAAGTACCTATTACTATATGCCCTTAAAATATTTCATTACATAATTGCAGCTTTTTGTTTGCGAACTCAGCGTAGCGATACCTAATTTTCACAGTAGTCAATATTGGGTGCGCTTACAGATTTTGTAATATTGATGAAAATCGTGTTACCGAAGTATATCATATAATGTGTGAAGAGATTACAATTCTTTAGGGTTATCTTTAATCATAATCTTTAATCATAATCATAATTTAAGTACATAAGTTTTGTTATTTAATAAAAATTTTCTCCGACACGTCTTTGGCTAATAGTCGACCCAGATGGCACTGATTCATCCCAAGCACCAATTGACTCACAATCCCGCTATATATACTACTTTTCTACTTCTGTCACTCTAGCTGAAACGTCAAACAAATTTGTTTATTTCTTTACTCGTATCTGTTCCAAACACTTTAACGCGTTTTGCATTCATTTCAGTGTGCGATTAGTTTTTTTTTCCACTTCTTTGTTTGTGGGTGCTCCATAAGTAGTTCTTATTGCAGAAACAGCTTTCCACCGGGAAAAGATATCTTTCCTTTCCAACACATCATGCGAAGTTTCTCGGATTCCCACTTATGTATAAAGATAACCACCGCGCCGACTCCATGTTATACCTTCACGTCACCAATATCCAGTAGCCCATCAATATTCCTGTTGGACATAACGGAAAAGTCGGTGAATCCACTGAGAAGAACGCGTGCCACTAACGCGCTTTGGGGTGAGAATACGTTTAAGTTTGACTCCGTGTGTTATTTGTGTGCCAAGTTGAAACATTAGATACTTACAGAACTTGTTTCAACAGCGTGCATTTTAGGAAATTCCAATGTAGAGCTTACCGATGATAAATCGTCGCCAATATCTTGGTCCAGCGCAGTGGAAGACAGATTGGGTTGCGCTAATTGGGACGCCGAGTACATTCAGCACTGGCTCCGACTAGACGAAACGAGAACTGCGTTGCAACAGCAGCACCGAGACCTATTCGAACTCGAGTACGATCGCGCCGAACTTGAAGACTGGAGTTTAAGTCTTTCGAACGATGATCTGCGCGAGTATTGGAAGAAAATGGACGCGGCTACGCCTGGTCAGATATCCATATCCACTTTACCGAGTATACAAGAAAACAACACTCTTGAACTAGAGGAGGACTCTAATGAATGTCTCTGGAACAATTCGAGTTACATGATGGATAAAGAAGGCAGGGAACTAATTACTTTTTTAATGGACGGCTGCAATGGCGAGAAACAATGGCCCTACGCGGCTTCGAGCGCTGTTCATCAACAAATATCACCGGACAATAGCTGGTCCAGCGGTGGGTCTGACTGCTGCAACTCTCACGAACCGGAAACTTGTTCCAAGCGTTCGTCCGCTGCTAGTGATGACACTGGAGAATTACCTCAAATCGGAACCGACTTTACTAGGGATTTCTACAGGTACGTTCAACAGTACGTTATAATTACAGATTTTAAAAATGCACATAGATAAAGTAATGCTACTAATTTATCTTGTTTTTAGGTTATTTACGCATTACTGTGAAACTTAAACTTACGGTCCATAATATCGGCAGGCATTTGAAGCATGGTCTTTGCAACCTTTCCTTCTTTTTATTCATATTTATTTTTAAAACGACAACAATAGAGAAATATTTAAATTTAAAGATTTGTTAGTCCCTTTATAATGTCTCAAACGATATATATGTTTTAAATTTAATGTTATTATTATTAATGAAGCAACTGATTTATTATATCAAAACTATAAAAGCACCAATGGCTAATGACAGCTTTAGAACAGGCGAAAAATATTTTATTTATCTATTTCCAACGTTACTCATTTTCAAGAAAACAATTTTGTACAAAAACCGACCCTATAGGACAATGAAGTACTATTTAATCTTAACAAAAATGAATATAGGGAAGAAAAAACTAGATGAAGTGAAAACATATTTCATATTTTTTGTCTATTAAATGTGGTGCGGTACCAATTGAAAAGCGAAATTTAAACTTAATTTCTTTTATTTTTAATTTATATAATTTGCCCCCTTGCCTCCCTTAATTTAAATTTATGTTTTTTTTTTATTCGGCTAGCTCGTTTCCCAGGAATTTGTAAAACTTTTGTTCTTCAAAGTCATACCTTAAGTCCTATATCGTATAACAATAATTAGTTCAATTATGAGCTTCTAGACAATATTAATGTAGACTAAGCAGACAAACTTAATGACATTTAATTGTTTTTCTCAAAGAAACTTCCACAGGCTACTGTATTACTTTTTACAAAACTTCTGGATTCCTCCTGCTTCTGTTTTTAACGAGTCGAACTTGCTGACGTTTCGCCAATCATCCTGTTTTTTTTTTATTTATTTTACTCTTTAAAATTGGTTATTTTGTTTTCGATGTACGACATTGAAATTTTCGTCTTTCTTTGGAGATCATAAAATACAATAAAAATTTGGGATTGAGAAGTGAGATAACGAAAAAGAAATATTTTTCAAAAACAATGTATCAGTCGAAAAATCAAACTACACAATAAAGTCGTAAAAGGAACGCAATAAATCCTATAAAAGCAAAATCGACTAATTCAAGCGTACGTAATGTATTGAATTAGCGAAAAGCAATTCTAAATTACACTTATACGTATTTACTTCTTGTTCTTCTTCTTCTTTAAGTGCTATCTCCTCCCAGAACATTGGCGATCAGTCGCATAATCTTCACTTTGTCTGCAGCAGATCTAAACAACGTGGTGATGCTTACTCCATAGCACTGACGAAGTTTTTTGAGCCAAGACCTTCGTCGCGGCGACCAGGACCACGTTTTCCTTCTATTTTACCTTGCATGATTGTATGGAGCAATTCGTATTTTTTATTTTTCATTACGAGGTAAAATACTCCAACTTCCATTTTGCATCTTCTAACAAGATGTTCTTGCTTGAGTTACCCAGCACCCCAAATACTTGTATGTTCGTACTCTCTCAACTATTTTTTTGCTGATGTCTATCCAATTATTTTTCTTTATATTTAAGCGTACACTCATTTGTTGGGTTATGGTCTGTTACTGCTGATAAAAGTAAATCATCCTTATCTGTTGCTAGTGAAGACCGCATTATCAGCGTATCTAAAATTGTTAATGACGATTTATTAGCAATTACATGGTCTGTTCTTTCTTCGATGGCTTCCCTAAAGATTTTTTCGCAAAAGGGGGTAGAGCACACATCCTTGTCGAACTCCTCGTATGTCAGCTGTCTGGTTCCAGTATAAGTTGGCTATTATTCGAATGTCCCGATCGTCGAGGCCTATGATTTTCAATATAGCTATTAATTTATCAAGCGCAACAGTGTCAAATGCCTTTTCGTAATCTACCGAGCAGTCATATACATCAACGTCCACAGCTGGACATCGCTGAATGTGAATCTGGATGCTTGTACGGAAACAACTTTCAAAACTAAATTGAGACATACTAACGTTTTCTTCGCATTTTACTTGCAGTTATCTTTCTCTGGCAGAGCAACGAAAGTTGACCTGAACCAATCTTTAGGAATTATTCCGGTTTTGTTAATGCAGTTTAGCAAACTTAGCAGAAGTGTGAAAGCGCTATCTTCCTCCAACGTGGTGCATTTCCATTTTTATGTCGTGAATGAGTTCTGCACCGTCTTTTCGAGTATTATTATGTTAAGTACTCCAAAGAGTTTTTCATATTCACATATTTACTGGTAGGGTGTAACAGTTTAGTCATCGAAGCTCAAGCTGTTTTTGAAATGTGGGCATGAAAACATGGATTGCTTTTTAGCAAAAGTTTCATAATCACCCCGGCGTAACTTTTAAAGAAGTTGAGGATAATATTTACAACATTATAGTAAAAATAATGGGTTTTTAGGCTAGTGAAGTTTGAAAGTACAAAAAGTCTGGCGTCCACTTCCTCTCGCAGTATCGGCGGTGCACTCAGCGAAAACGGCGATCGGGACGCGACGCTTCAAAACGTTTTGACTTTCATAGCGGAACAACAGAAATACGTCCATTGTAGGGATAGGCCGAAATCGGCCAACGACTTTACGAAAGAGTTCAACATTGAATGTCCGTCGCAACATTTCGACGAAATAAGAATTCCCGACTATAACATCCAAAAAGAAGAACCCACATCGAAAGACAATGAAAACTACGTCACACTCAGACAGTTATGCAGGGAGTACGAAGAAAAGGAAAAAGGGAAAGAGAACGGAAAAATCGAAAACAAGGAAGATTTTATTTCCGACAAGATTTCTTACGCGGAAGAAGTGTGCCTGGTAACTCCTTTGGACGTGGAGAGTGAAAATTGTTCAAACATCGGAGAACGCGCGGTTGACATTTGTGCAAGTGTTAATGTCGAACTGATTTCGACGGGATATCAGTGCGAGGAAGTCCAGGATCGTGATCCGATTGACGATACTAGTGCCGGTGCGACCAAAGTTGCCGAAAATTTAGTACAGAACGATGGCGATTTGATAAAATCGACGGACACGAGTTACAGTGACGCGTCGACCCATAACTGCACGAGCGAGTCGTTAACATCGAGCGTGAGTACCCCAGAAACCGTAACGTCGAAAATTCCCCGCAGGAAAACCTCGTCTAGGATACCCGTAAGCCCGGCCAGGATGATTGTAAATAACAATAACAACAAGGAGAACTCGCAAGACACTAAGATACCAAAGAGCAAATTGTCATACAGAGGCAATAAACTGAAGCCTAAGGTAAGTGCTTTTGGTAATTTTCCCGTTACTTATAATTCAGTCCTATTGGCGAGATAATCAGCTGCTAGTATAGTATTTTTTAAGACTTAAGAAAGCAATCAGTCAATTCCGATTGTGTGTGTTTTCACGTTTGTGTGTCTATAAAAAAAAAGTAAGAAAATATCAAAATGGCAATAGTAGATTAATCTATAACAAAGGCTAGATCGCAATGTTGAGTTCCCCAAACAATATACCGTTTTTACATCCTTTTATTATTTTGACTTCGGAATGAGTTTAAGACCCGCCTGTTGTAATTTGTTGCAATTTAATTTGTAAGGTTTTCGAAATAACTACGATATTTTTGAATTAATTGGTGACAGTAATTGCGCAATTATTGTTTCAAATGTTTGGCAGATGCCAAAATTATATGCCTAAATCATGAGTTGTTGCTGATCGGAAGGACAGTTGGGGATATGCTGGCAAGTACGCTAAAACATTTATGATAGGTTCGTTCTTTTATTAATTTGTTTGTTTGTTCAAATTTCGTTTGAATTTCCTAAATATTTTTGGCGAAATTTTATGATATGGTTAATAATTGTTCGGGGATATCATCGGTGTTGAATTTTGATCATAATTCCTCAAAATGTTCCGCCAAGATTTCATTTTTCAGGTTGAATGTTAACGCGGCGAAACATTTTAAAAGTCGAGTCACTACGTGAAAACAATTTTATGGTGTTATCCACGGATAATAAAATTATTCGTCAAAACTGGGTTAGAGTAACTATTTTACTCCGATTTAACTTATTTTTAAGTAAATATTAAGTAGAACATCTTTTTAAAACTTTGGAATTTTTTTAGAAACAGTAATTTAGCGAATAATATTCAAAATGGCGTTTCATGGCTAAACAAGAACCTGTCAAGATAATGTGATTTTTAAGAATGATTTCGATTATTTAGAAAATTGCACGACCGCAGGCAAACACTATTTTATATTATCTTAAAAAAAATTTTTAAGGTAGACTCAAAAGTCCAAGTGTTTAAATTAATATATATATATATATATATATATATATATATATATATATATATATATATATATATATATATATATATATATTCATAAACGTCATCACTATCGATCACCCGGTATGATCAAATATAACGAACAATATTATCCATCCGTAAGGGCATCGCAAGTGGGACGAAGATACACAGAAAAGGAATGGAAGTAAGATTGTGTCGCTCAATTCAATATAGAAACATGATTTGTGTTAAGGAACCTGACTTATAAAAGGTGTTAACAAGCATTTATGTCTTCAAAAACATTTAGTTTATTTTTCTGGTGGGTGCATCATTATAAGTCCTATCCTACCTTTTGTATCTCAAATTTATAATGAAAATATTTTATCATTTCGAATATTTAGGAATTAGTAGATTCTTCGAATCGCTGAAACGCATTGCGGTTAATAAAATGCAATATGCTTCTGTGTCCTTGCTTTTTTACTGCAATTTATAATTAAGAATAATGTCGATTGAATTTGCAAAATATCTTTTCAGAAGATCGTACAAGTTCAACAGAACGTTTCGGCCCAGCATTTTATAACCTCAGAAAAGCTACCGGAACCAACATCAGGGGTATTAAGCAACATTATTGAAGGGCCACCACACCGAGCTGTCAGTTTTCACGAACGGGCCACATCCAAGGACGTAATTGAAGAACTGAATAGGATAATTAAAAGTGGCGATGAGACTGTTCCCGAATCAAGCGAAGCTGCCGTTGTTCCCAAACTGGATCAAGCATGTCGACCGACGGGTTGGATTCATGTGGAGAAGGATATCGATCTTACCGATCCAAAGGTAATCTCGTTTGCACCAGCCCCAGATGCATTCTTTGAATGGTAGCTGTGATTGTTCGTAGGCAAGAGCAAACTTGCTCGATGTCATGATGGCGTCCGTGTCAAGCGATTCGTCGCCGACTTCATCTTGCGGTGGAAGCGTAGCTAGTGATTCTACGGAAGATCCGCCAGACTACGGCCATCTTCACCGAATCCACAAATATCATCGTCAAAAGAAAGGTATGCGTTTGTGTTATTTTGTATTGTTGTGCAAATTTACTCATAGAATTTCATGTGCAAAAATATCATTCCACATCAATCTTTTTCAGGAAAAGTTCATTTGACAAAAATCCTATTAATAAAAGTTTACCGCCTTATAAGTTGAGTCAAAGTTTCGCTTGATGCAGATTTGGTCCATTTTGGAAAATTTCATAGGAGATGAAGAAAACATTTTAATTTTGCATAACTATAGAAAAACCCATCAGGTAAAATTCACCGAACGATATACCATTTTTACAACCTTTCATGGTTTTTTACTTCGGAATGAGTTGAAGCACCGCCTGTTGTATATTCTTTTCAGCACGTGTAGCACAAGCCAGGGCCGTAGTTAAGATGTTAGCCGACAAGAACTGTGCCGTGCGCACTGTTGTATTTTAAGAATAGGCAATTTTTCTTTGATTAAACTGTTATATAAATTCATATTAATGTTTTTTTATGAATCTTCCTAAAACAGTCCCTACTTGAGGTAGCTCTAGGTCAAGTTGAATTTGCCTATTAGATAGATTGATCTCCTATATTAAAAAACACATTAGAAAGCTTAAATTGATTTCCAATTTAAGGGTTTAACATAATGATTCAAAAATATTTTCCTGGAAAAGCAATACAAAATTTTCTGTGGATAATTGATTTTTAATGGATGTTTTCCCCGTTTACTACTGGTTGATGAGTGGGAGTTGGTGAAATCGTGAAAATTACATTCCGAGATGACTAAAACACCGTATGCTACGTGAGATAGTTGTAAATGGTGTACAAGAAAGAAAAACGCGGCAAAATCGTGGGGTCCCAAAAAGTCGACTTGCACCATGCCGGAATAGTGAGACGGTTGATATATGATGCGTATCAGAAGAATATTGTTTTAACCATTAAAACTTTACATAAAGAGTTGAGTAGTATTTTGAACATTGACTGTTGTGTGCATTCGTACGAAGAATTGTTTTTTTTTTTTACAAAACCATCAATAAGAGACAAGTTTGATGGAATCAAGAATTTCGGAGTGGAGGACAAGATATTTGAGAAAAATCCAAGAAATTCGTACTAAAAACGTCCCCATTATATATTTAGATGAGACCGGGTTTGATATCCACGATACCGCCAAGAAAGGAAGTTCTTAAGATAGGAAAGTTTGATAAGAAGTATAATGTGGACAAGTTGGCCATGGAGCGGGAAGGTAAAGTTGTGCGTTTTCCACCATATCACTCCAATCTTATCCGATAAAACTGACATGGGAACAGCTAAAACCCCGTTTCAGAAGAAACAATACCAAAAAACCAAAAAACAAAAAATTTAGTTCTGGGGTAATGGAATTTATTGGAAATAAAGTAGAAAAAACATCTGCATATCATATTCTAACATTGTTTTATAACAAAATTTACTCCTTTATTTATACTTATAATAAACTAATAATCCGTCATCAAATCCGTCAGGTTTCGGCAGTTGTATGCACGAAGTACCTAAATACGGTTTCGGAACGTCATTTTGGAATTGTGAATCTATTTATTGAGGGTTACAAAGAGAAACCCAAGCGAGGTAGGCCTGCGGTTAGACCTTCATAAAAATTTACCAAAGTTAAATACGGGATTATGTGGTAAAAACGGTATATTGTTTGGAGAACGTTATATTCTTGAAAAAAAACAACAACATTGGAGTTCGGTGTTCTCACCAGAGAGAGGCACAGACGCCTTGCGGTTTAGTTTTTAAAAAATGTCATGGTAAATAGCAATTTATTATAGCAGCTAATTGTCGCGACGCATCGTTTTTAAAAACGTACATTCAAGGTGTTATTGAAATGACATATAATCTAATTAGTGAATGTTTCAAGTTGATATTTTATTTAGTTCAGTTCCTATAAAACAAAGAGAATTATTTAGCTCAACAAGTATGCTGCTCAACAGATTTACTATTTTCATCCCATATATAATTAAGCCACTCAATGTTGTCATGCAAATTCGATCCTAAAATAGTGAAAATTTGCTCAATAGCCAGGAAAACTAAGAAAATATTAAACATATGCATATAGAAAGCCCGAACAAAATTAAATCATCTCTGTGCTTGTCTATTTCAAAATATCTCTTTCAAGTTTACAACGACTGCATAGGTTTGGAACTATGACCGGGTGCAAGTGAAAACGTACCAGTTAATTTTACTATTTGGTTAAGAACGTTAAGAATAGAGTTCCAAAAATCTGCAGGGAAGAGCCTGGCTCTGTTTAAGATATTGGTTATAAATTAGAGTTTTGATTTTGCGATTTGTTTGAGAAAACGCAGCAATTAAATGTTTACCTATATGATATATGCTGTTTTCACTAATAATATCAAACAAGCAAAATCTCAAGTACGACTTCGGTATTTAGAAATAATGACTAACTAACGAAACCGTGACTTGATTTTTTTTTATTAGTGAATCCTGAACTAATTTAGTCAAGTTTTTCTTCATATTTGCTCCTATTAAACAAACGATGCCAAGATTTGGTAACTCAACACCGTAGTAAACCTTACTGTCCGGCTTATTACCTTCTTTCAGGGGTTTTATACCAAATTTCAACAGTTATGGACCCTGAAATTCACCAATTAAATTATATGATTTCATTTCAACAACACCCAGTATTTTGCATATCAGAATAATAGGTATATACTTACTTAAGTTTTTAGAAATTCGATTTGAGTTTTTTAGAATATCACATTTTTTAAAATTTATTCTGTGAAAGAAATTTAATCAACTTTAATAAAACTTTGGTTATTCCTATGGCAAAATTTCCACATCAGTAAGTATGAGTAAAATAAAACGAATCTTTTTTTTAAATCATTATTATTGTATACTGGTGGCAACTGAAAAAATTGACACTCTTTTCTTTCTGTAATTAATTATTTGTCATGTCTATATTGGGTTTTATATTCCATTAAATGGAATTTGGGATGACATACTTGGGTAGTTTAAGTCAGTTAATTTATTAATGGTTTTCAAATTGAAGTGGTTATTACAAGCATTAACTAAATTTTCATCATCATCATCCCGGGATTTCAGGTCCCAAAGCCCTGCCTTTTTATTTGACACCCCATATGTAATTTAAGTGTATTCCCGCGCAATTTTTTTACTTTGTAATTTTATTTTTGTGAAATGAACTTTTTCAGGTTAACTTAAAAGGAGCATAGTATTTGTATTTTAGTATCGTGTTTGTAATAATAATTTCATCGTTTTACACTAACAAGCATGACTAACACATTATTACGTCTTATTTTCTTTGTTTCGCTAATAGTTGCAAATAATGACCAACGTAATCCCAAGCATTTTTACTGAAGTACAAGTTTATTAAACAAATTTATAAAAAATTGCTACTGCGATGAATGGTCATTAGATTTAATTGTCTTTTTTTTTCTATTTTCTTTATTAACGAAATTCACTAAACTCTTGATCTTTTTCTATTATATGTTTTGGTGATGGTATGACTATTGTTATATTTTCTTGTATCGGTAGATAAATCTTATTAATTCTGTTATATACATTGACTTTTTGATTTGTCTTTGTATCGAACTGTGTTTATTGAATAATCAACCTGGCATAGGTAAAACTGTGATCTATATAGCAAGGAAACTTACAAATCCTGAAATTTTGTATTCTATTGTACGGCTTTACTGACAAACTGACAAATATGTTGAAAAAGTGAGCCTTTCCTGGAATAGTGTTTCCGTTGTCGATGAACTACACTATGCCGGCGATGTTCAATTCCTTGGCTTTTTGATAACATTTTTGTAGTTTTCGTCATTAGATTTACTTTGTTTATCGACAACAACAAATAATAAAACTGTCCAACTATAGCGAACTTAGCAAAACAAACCATTTTTTTGTTAAGTTCAGTATACCCACCTTACGCATAATTTAATTTACGACTAATTAAACTCTTCCATTGTTTAACGATATATTTTAATATTATATTTTAATATTATTAATATTTCCTAGTTAATTGTTAATATCAAGAAATTATTGAGTGGTAGACTTGCAGTAAGATTATTCAATAACCTCAGGTTCAACCCTATCCCGTCTGTCCCCCAATAACTCATCCTTCCAACCATTTTATACCGAGTACATCAGTACAAATGTTGGGGATTTTAAAGCTTCTGCCTCGGCACCATGCACCCCAATGACGGAGACAACTGTGTGAAACCGTACAAGCGTGTGTCTGTACCTACTTGCAGCAAAGGCGGTCAGGCCTGACCTAGCTGCCACTTCGGTGGCGGTTGTCAGAGCGACCGTACCATCGGTTCGACCCACGATCATTGGAAGACCGGATTTCTTCGTAAGATATGGAGAAAAAGAACGCGAAGCGGTCGCGTCATTTGATTTTCTCAACGAATTCAGTTCGGAAAACAGCTCTCTGAGTTGTTCAGTCGAAGACAATATCGAGGAAGTGGTCGAAGTTGAGCCAACTCCGAGGGTTGTGAGAGTTAGTCAAGTATAAGTGTATCATGTACCTCTATACTATACTATCATTTGATAAATCTGACATGTTATTCGTGTTTTAAAAGACTTCAAGAAATAGACACATATTAGATTATTTGCTTAATAGTTCTGTTAAACCCACGAGATGTTTTCACGCCGTCCTCAAAAATTTTCTAGGTTCTTATTTCAGTTTAGTCCATCCTCCGTCTTTTTTAACTTAATTTATTCTGTTTCCAATTAATGTTTTTAAAGAATAACTTCTTTTGAATAACCGATTTTACTCGTAGTTACCTCATCGATAGTTCTTATAAATCACTTGTCTCCCACATTGAAATGCTAACTCGAACTTAATTTATGTAGTGTGTACTTTTTATTTCTCAATTTTGCGCTCATATACTATTACAATAATTGCAAATGGTCGTATCATGTACCAAACTTTGTACATTATTTTACTGTATTATTTATTTTACTCTATAATTGTAAATTTGTTCTGAATAAGATACGCCCTATTTATTAATACAATATCAAATTAAAGACAAATAAGAGACGTTAAGTGCATTAGTTTTTAGATAGAACTTAGATGTGTATATATATAATACTGTAATTTTTTTGTTAATTAGAATAACGGAAAACGAATTACTGTGTAGTACAGTTTATGTACATTGTGATATAATCTAAACCTTATTAGATTTTTATTGTTAATGACTATGACTACGATGATATTAATTACAAATTATTATTACATTATTACAAGATTGGCAGTAAATGGCAACAGCCTAAAGCACTACTTTGAATCGGTTGTTGTAAATTAAAATCTTTAAAAAGTATTTGGTCCACCGCACCAACCGAGTGAGTAAAAAATGCGTGTCTAACTTGGGCATTTTTTTTTAGTAGTAAGCGTTATTAGTTCCCTTTAGATAGGATCTATTTATATTAACATAACACACGTTGCTGGCCTACAGTCCGAACATAGACGTTAAAAAGTAATATGAACTGGAACAATTACTACATATACAACTTTTTTCATTAAGACTACTCACATAATGATGTCTATAATATTTGAAATGTGTGTAGAGTGATGTATTTTTATATAGGGTACTTATATATATTTAGTACAAATTTAGAATACAAATAAATCAAATATCAACTCAAACCGTGTTTATTTTAACCATTTGAGATTTTTTCAAATCTTATGGTAAGACGTTAGGTGATGCTGCTACAGTTATCTATTTTATTTTTATTTATTTATGTCATTACATTTCGAACAACAACGACGCTTATATGCCCGTCTTTTCTTTAATCCAGTCCCGATACGCTGAAATTCTGGTATTCACGTTCGGCTTAAATAAGAAACAGTTGAAATATCCATAAGAAACGAGAGCTACCTGCTCTCCGTTTACTACTATTGGACTTCCCGCATCGCCAACGCACGGCGCCTTGTAGTAGTCTGGTGCCAAACAAACATGCTCATCGCGAAGTGCTTCGGTGAAGATCGGATGATCGTATATACATTGCTCGTATGTAAGAAAAGTGTTGTTTGTCCATTGTAAAACCGGAGAAGCTATTATTTGGGCACCATAAGACGTACCCCAACCTAAAAAGTATATATATATATATATATATATATATATATATATATATATATATATATATATATATATATATATATATATATATATATATATATATATATATATATATATATATATATATATATATATATATATATATATATATATATATATATATATATATATATATATATATATATATATATATATATATATATATATATATATATATATATATATATATATATATATATATATATATATATATATATATATATATAAATCAATTAAAAATATTTCAAGTCTGATGAAAATATATTGAATTAACATTATTTACAAAACTTCTGTATTTTTCCTGCATCAGTTGTTGTTGAGTCGAAGTTGCTAACGTTTCGATAATCATCCTGTTGGCTTCTTCAGAACTTAACTGAAACTGGCTCGCATTTTATATACCTGCTTGTTTGAGGGGGGCGGATATTAAGGAGGGGCTTGAATTCCCACATTGGTGACAGGTAAAGGCCTGAGTCGCGGTTAAGACTGTTAGGTTGCTTAAAGATTTCGATAGGCTTTCTGATTTTTCGTTGGTAGAAGAATTTATTACATGCAAGAAGTATGTCCGGTTTCGCGATTATGTTCGGCAATTGTTAATGAGTTTATTTGTTTTAGTCTTAAGGCTCTTTCATGTTCTTTGAGCCTAGTTGATAGAGATCGTCCGATCTCTCTAATGTATTCTTCGCCGCATATGCATAGAAGGTTGTAAACTCCTGGCATCTAAAATGAAATTTTGTCTTTGACGGATCGAAGATGTGGAGAGATTTTTTGGACAAGTGGTAAATCTGGTTTTGACGTTATATTTCTTTAGAACTTTTGATATGTCGTCAGTGACGTTTTGAATGTAAGGAAGGACAACAGTAGCAAGTATTAGATTGTTTTCGGGCTCATCGCTGTTGGAAGGTTGTGGTGAAGTGTATTTTGTTATGGAACGCTTAATATCTTTGATGTGGAAGCAGCAGAGATAAGGTGTTTTAATTCTGGGTTCAGTGACTCGGACGGAGATACTTTGAAGCCTCTCTAAACAAGAGAGTTGATAAACTGATGATTTTTGGGTCGGGTGGTTATGTGACAATGCATTAAAGTCTGTGTGAGCTGATTTTCTGTAAACACGATAACCCAATGTTAGGTCTGATTTTCTATTGATAAGAATATCTTAGAATGAGAGGTTATTATTAGTTTCTAATTCAATGTATGTTAGGGTGTATAGAGTTTAAATTTACTAGGGATTCTTGACTATGAGGCCGAATAACAAAAGTATCGTCGACGTAGCGTTTCCATAATTTTGGTTTTAGATGGAAGGTGTCGATACCTTTCTTCTCAAAGCCATAAATATATTCTCGATAACTGGTGATAATGAAGAACCTGTAGCACTTCCCGAAGTTTGTTCAAAAATTTGACCGTTCTAAAAGTAAGTTCCAGACAAGCATTCTTCAGTTAAGCTTTGGTTCCAGATTCTCGCATTTTAATATATCTGAAATGATGTTGAAAGTTTCAGGGACTTTAGTAAAGAAGGATTCTACAAAACTAACGAGAGTTTAGCTCCGGCACCCTCAAACAATATATAAGTAAGTACAGAGTAAAATGCGAGCCAACAGGATGGTTGGCGAAACGTTAGCAAGTTCGACTCAACAACCAACGCAGGAGGAATCTAGAAGTTTTGTATTACAGTAGTGGAACTATCTTTGAAAAATATTGATAGTAGGTCAAAATAAAGGTGTTTTTCGCGCACCTGCGACAACTCCAACTTCACCGGCCAGATCTCTTTGGCTATCTGTAAGCTTAATGGGTTGGATTAAATCGTTGTACTGTACTGGTTGTGGAAGCTTAATTAGGGCAATGTTATGTTCTTCGAAGGAGGTGAAATTTTCGTGGATGATGTAATTCTCCTTTGATATTTTCTGTCTTATTTGGCCGGGTTCGACTACACTAATGTCCTTGGCACCCAAAACTACGATCCAGTCTCCATCCAGTCTTTAAATACATTGTAAAAATAGGAGTTTTCTAGTGAAAATGTAATATTATTCAATGTTTTAAGGGACATTCGCGTAAGATAAACACAAAAAGTTAAGTCAAGTCATGATTAATGATGAAGTATTAAATTTTCGCTGCAGAAAACGGAGTTTGGCATTTAGTAATAAATTGTATGTTCTAATCACAAGAGAAAGCCTACGGGGAGTGACTCTATCGTTGCTATTGTTGGGTGATAAAGGGCTGTAAATTTTTTCCTCTCTCGGATTTATCTAATTTTAAATCAATCTTGCTGATACGAAACCGTGTAAGATGTGTAAATGTGATTGTAATCGGATTGAAGTGAAAATCTAATCTGTAGGTCCCGAAAAATTTGAATTCGTTGATTTACGTTCAATAAAATCATTTTATTAATAAAAACGGACACCTTATCTCCGGAGATATGTAAACATCATTGAAGATCATAAATCGACAGCGTTGCCACGTGTGATTTTTTTGTAAGTCAACTTTGTTCGCTTATACTTACGATCATTTTATGGTATTTATGCTGTTCATTTAATAGTCGCAACTCTCAGGCACACTCGCAATTAATTAGAAATGACGTGTAAAGAGAGTTCAATTTATTCATTCGTATATATTCTTATTCACACCTCAACACAAATCGACCCGACCAGGCTGAGACCTAGGGTTTTGAAAACAATCCCGTAAGTGTAAACTGACAGAGAAATAACTGGAAATTATTTTGAAGTTCGTTCTTCAGCCGCTAGAACACGCAATCCCTATTGTGGTGCTTAAGATCCGCACTCAAAGTAACACGACGATTTATGATATTGAAAACAACGATGGTAGTAGTTAATTTGGTTTTAAAAAAGAAACTATTTTGCGAAGAGCTAGGAAACATCGCGAAGCCGTTTTCACTAGAATTTTGAAATGTTATAATAATTATGGTTCTGTCTAGAAGTCTATAAGAATAGAAAAAAACTTTAGATAAGTCCTTCAGTTTATTAGTTTTAAACGGCTAACGGTACAGGTAATCAGATCAATGGTTCAACAGATATTGAGATGAAAGTTTATCTCCTTCAAAAAAATCTGTTGTGGTGAAAGTTCAGGTGACATATTTATGGGCCTCGTACTGGTCAGGATACCTTGGGCATCATATTTTGAGAAAACTCCATTATCAGTTGCATAGCGTACGCAGATAGTGCCAAAACCAAGCAGAGTGCGGGTGTTCGTGTATACGTCGAGCACTCAAAAACCATTCGCCGGTCTGGGTTAATTACGAAGCAATTCTATATATTGCCGAAATTTCTACAAACTTGCTTAGCTGCTGGCAGAACCGCAACTTGAGAAGAATGGGAAAAAAAAATTCTGTCAAATAGGTCTGACTATAAAGTCTCTAAAATGAGGTGTGTGTGCCAACCAAGAAGTTGAATAGTTTTAACCAATTATAACTTCGGCCAGTTATCCTCGATCTATCCGTCAGTGGTGTCGAATGTAAAGCAGCCAAAATTTTCCATTTTATTGAGAATTTGGAAAAGTTGGGGGGTTCTCGAAAGTTCCTTATGACGTTGGGTGAACCAATGAGCGCTGCGGTACGGTTTTGTCATTTTTTGATACATTTCATTGCTATGGAAATATGACTATTTTGAAATTGCGTTTTTATTTTAGAACTAGAACGAAAGTATAACATATATCGTCGAAACCGCAACCTGACTTTTTTTGTTAATAGAAATAGTTTCAAGTTCAAGTTACTCAAAACAACAACAAAAATTAATAAAGCTTTGGTCCTCTTTTAGTCTCAATAACTGCATCATTTTATAAACTTCTTTTACAACCCTTTTTTTTATAAGCTATTAGTTGATGCCGTTTAAATGGTTTATGTTATTGTTTAGGTTTAATTTTAAATTAGAAACGCAATGTATCAAAAAGAAACGGAAGAGATGTTCACCTAGTGATTCACCTAACATCATAAGGTGCGTTACAGACTTTTCCAAATTCTTTGCAAAAAAATGAAAATTTCCCTACTCTCCTACATGCGCGCCCTGTATAACGAACAGCATTTGTTTAAAAATTACATTAAAGTATTGATATGATTGATAGGATAACGAGTTTGTTTAGTAAGGTACCGCTATACACCGAACTAAAAAAGACTACAACTGTTAACGTGAGGAAACTGTTCACAATATTAACAACTTCATAATATGATAAACTAATATAAGTACTAGAGGCGTACGAGACACATCTGGCAACAAACTCAGACACTACTTTCGTGAAGAGACGTTTATTTCCCGTGCTAGCAAAGATCAGACATTCAACATATCCTAAAAACTAGAATATTCGAAAAACTGCCAAATTGCTCTGATCGGCCGTTATATGAGACCGAACTTAATAATAACCCTCAGTAGAATTCATTGCTAAATATTGCTTCTTAACGCCTGACGCTGTTAAGCAATATTTAGCAAAGTGTATGGCACCCCATTGTTGTTTTATATTGTGAAATTTCCTGAAATTTACCGACACATTCAGTTTACTTACTCAAGGCAATCGGCAACTGTCAATACGTATTCTTCAGAAATTAAAGATCCAGCGCATGCACCTGTCAAGTCTTCGATAATGATGGCTACTTCATAGGGAAATTGTCCTAGAGATGCATCCTCGCCACCTGTTATTCTAAGATTGGCGCTTTTTGCCTGTAACAACGACTTCTTAGAGTTTCAGAACACTGCAGGTGTTTACCTCATAGCTTATAATAGTCACCAGCGAACTTTGACATGTTAAATTATTTGGTCTTTACTACATTCTAAATGAATAATTTTTACCTCAAGGAGCACAATTGCCGAAACTGCGAAAGCCAATAGGGTTTTAACCGACATCGTGCTCGTATCAAGTTACTGTGAATTGGCAGCTTAGTTGCTTCGTTTTATAAAGTTTAGTCAAGATATACATTCAACAAGCTGAGATAACGTCGTTTTTCAACAAATTAAGTCACTTACTGTCTCTATGATGAGCATGTCTGATAAATCAGATAAAAACTGTAAAAAATACATTTAATCGTATTTTTTCAAGGTTATTTTTTCGATATTCATTTTTATAATATAAATGTTAAATCGATCGGACAGATTATAGATACATTAGAATTGTTGCACATGCCTCTTTTAACAAGAACAAAGGTATCATAGGTTTTTAGCTATGTGACAGACGAGATTCTGGATTATACACCGGTATAAAATCAGTAAGCTAATGGATGTGATGTTATTGTGTCTGGTATCTACCACAAATTCTTCTTGGTTATGTCTATTTCATTATTCCTCGTTTACGGGGTTAGGTGCCACGGATGATGCCTAAAAACCCATGATGCCTTTGTACTCGTCCAGTGTTTTCAGTGAAAATAATAAAATTTATAGGTCTTGCATTAATTATTTAAAAGTACCATGTAAATTCAATATACATATTTAAGAAAGTCGCTTGTGAAAATACTACGAGGTGACAGACAGAACGAAAGCAATGCTTAACTACAATTTAAATATCTAAAGCTTAATTGATCACTCTTAAAGAACAATACATATTACTTTTCAAAAATACATATGTCATCAATCATCTCCTTGAGATTATACGGACTATATTTTCAGCGACACGAAATCACATGTTATTTAACTTCAAGTACTTCAACATAAAATGGAGATGTTCAAATACTAAAAAAAGGTAAACATTTTTTTTCTTCTGGAATTCAAAATATTTCTCATAGATAATTTTCTAAAAAGAACGTTTGCTCTATCCATCTCTTTTCTCTATACGCGTGCTGGTTTTGTGCACCTCCCGGTAATTCATAATTAATTAACAATTAACGTTTTTGGACGTAGTAATTAGCTATTATAAGCCTTAGCGTATAACTATTGTAAAATAAAACTATGCTCAATCTATCAAAGCAATAGGCTAACACAAGAAACTATCATTCTACCTCAACTACTGAAATCAAGTCGAGCTTAAAAAACGTCAACCAGATTTTAATTTAAAGCATGCCAAAATTAAACCGCCAGGCGGAATTTTATATATAAATTTGATGGATGTATGTCTGTTAATACGCTCGTTAAAAATATGTAACACATAAGAGACATTTCAATACAATATTTTTTTATTCGTACCGAGCAAAAGAATATAAAGAGAAATGAGTTAAAATGATCTTAGCTGAATGACCATATACGGGAAGCGTATCGTATCACCATGGAACCTTAGACTGTTTAGAAGTCAATTTTGGAGCTTACAAAGGGAAGGCACTCGTTTGTAATTATTCTGTGAAATAGAATTACTTGGTGTAGTTTCTTCATATTTTTCATATTTAACCATTTGAAATCCGACAATTTAGGTTCATATGCCAAAATTCATAAGCAAACAAGACTTCTGAACTCTCTCAATTTTCATTCTCGGTGACACTATTTAAACACGACCTATAATACTACAATCTGCATAAAACTGTGAAAAGATAGTTTTAGGGCCATATCGCTCAATGGATGCAATAATGGCAAAATGCGAGCCAGTTTCAGCCAAGCTCTGAAGAAACCAACACTCTGATTGGTGAGACGTTAGCAAGTTCGACTCAACAAAAGCCGACGCAGAAGGAATCCAGAAGTTTTGTGAAAAGTATAATGGCACATATCAAAAAATTGCTATTTTTAGTTAATTGCACCTTAAAACTAGCATATTTGTATTTTAATAACGAACAATACCGGCTAGTTCCGCTCCAGACAGTAAGTGCCAGTATTGAAGTTTTTTAACGATCTAACGCGCAAAACCGGCACATAACCCAATATATCTGTGATCGTCACAGAGTACGTAATGTTGGTAAAAAGCGCGAAGAAGACGGGGATTTCTTAGAAAGAAATGAGTTACGATGATTTTTTTGATTTGAGCCCAAAACTTCTTTTAACTTTTATTGGGACGGTTCCGGCGATATTGTCAAAATAAATGACGCGTGTATTTTGAAAGTAAAAAAAGATTTTGCTTTAAAACATCTTTCAGTGAACCTGACTACAGAAGCATAAGTATTACGCAAATAAAAATGCGATCAGGCCCGACTTTTACATCTTTTGGAACAGTGAATCTAGACCGCGCTTATCGAGATGTTATACTAATTCCAACGAAAAAATTTAATGACTTAATAGATTTGCTAAAAAGTAATGCTATTAAAAAATAGCACAGTAATTTTTATAATAGTCTGAAATGTCAGGGTTTTTTAGTTACTTTGAAAATTGCACATTGCAAGTAAGGCTAATAAAAAATGTCACTTTTATAATAGACTAAAATGTGTTTTGAAAACAGTAATTTTTGTTTATTTTCCAAAAACCAGGTCAGTTGGTTGATGCTTGTACTTTTGAATACCTTTGCTTTTGTTTACGTGCCATGATAATTGTTTTTTATAATTTTAAGAACAGTAGCTCTCTACCAAAACCTATAGGTCCGTTGCACCCAGTGAGCGTTATTTGCTTTTGTAATATGTAATATGTAACATGTTGATCAAACCGAAAATCAGTATTAACCAGCAGGCTCAGATTCCTTGCCTGATCAGTGCATAACATACTTACTATTAATTACCATTTTTTTAACCACACTTAATGTACTAGTAAAATTCAATACGGCAAATTTTTTACGATTAATCGTCAAATTATGCACGAATCTATCCAACTCCTCTGCCATCTTCAGGCCAGCTTGTGAAATATTGTTAAGTTAAATTGGTGGCATTATGTACTGTTCAAATTATCTAAATCAAACAACAGTGGTGACTATAGAATTTTATTTTTCTTTAAAACCTACAATGAATTGATATAATTATATTATATGTATATTATAAAATTAAATTTTACTAAAACGAATTATTAATATATATATAACAAAATAAGTTCATAGTACAACAAATATGGAAAATATCATTGTAATCATTTTGTTAGATTAAATTATTGGTCCGTAAAATAATTGTACGCATCCAGGTATGTACAGTTTCGAGTCAACTTTTCAATTTTACTTGCTTAAACAAAATGCAAAAATGAGATAGAATCTTTCCATTGTTAAAGTATTCAAACTACACAACATCAATTATTAAATCACTAAAATCTCAAAACAAATCGCTGGCCACATGTTTACTAATTCCTAGAACATATATTGGATGGTAGTGATTAACAATAAGATGTCAAATATCAAATGCGGGTAGCCAGCGAATATACATAACGATCTCATAAAATTATATTTTCCTTAATTTATACCCATGGTAGGTAATTTAACACATATTTACTATAGTTGGCATGAATTCGCTATTAATAATTACTAACAACAATGAATCCGCAACAGAATAAGTTTTGGTTGAAGTAAAGGATTACATCTACACACATTGAGCTGTTGCAGCAATATTATTGATTACAAAATTCGATGATCGGTATATACAATTTTTCGATTACCATTAGGCGTAGTTAATACGCATATATCCTGCGACACCATAAAAATACAGCGATGCTAACTTCATAATATTCTACACATTTACGACTAATTTGGCATTCATTTACAAATACATTACCTAATTAAAATGAGAATTAAATTCTTTTGCAAAAAAATTTTCCGCAAATTTTGGGATTTTGCTTTTGCTCCGAAAGTTAAATCTGCCTAACAAAGGTTTCCAAATATGCTCATTTAAAACAATGTTTTTGACTAGACGAAACGCAGTTCTATAGATCAAAAGCGAGTAAAATTGTACATAATATACTTCAGACAGAGGTGAGAATAAAGAAAAATATGATAGGTACGATTAGCCTAGAAGATATTAGTTGGTCAAACCCCAAATTCTGGGTGGTATATTTACCATGTGCAAACTATGCATTGGGTGACGCAAGGAAGTGGAAATAACACTCGATAACTCTTTAACCTACAAAAATTACAACTTTCAAAGTTACCATTGCTGCTTCCGTTCGATAAGAGCAACCACGATATTTCAAACCTTTATCTCAAACCGCTTTAAAATTTATTGAATGTTTCCCTTTCAATGCGTCTTTTGGTGTGTTTTCAGAAAAAAAATGCTAAGTCAAATAACAAATGAATGTCAGCATCTCTAAAATTTCGTGAGGCAATCGGATCCTATCATAAAAGTTCAGAATCGTTCAGGGTCGTTTGGAGTGACAGTCGTGACGGTGATATTCGAATCCGATACTTTGGCGCCAGATGGCGCTCCGTCCTATATGTGTTCTTTGTTAAGGAGTTTGCCGGTGCCCTGGAGGGTGGGACTCCGGACTGCGAATGATACCAAGATGCCAAGCGCGATGAGGCAGACACCCAGTGTATTAATGACGATACCTTCGTCGATCCATTGGGAGTAGGAGTCCCTGCAATAGTTAGTTTTGCGGTTATGGTTAATTAAAGGTATTTACAAGAAAAAATGTCAGTCTAACGTCAAAATTTTCAGTGCGAGCTTACAGTATAGAGCAGGACATTCAAAAAACATTCCTAACAAGGAGGGATAACCCTAGAATTAAACGATGACTGCATGCTGTGTTACGGAAGAAATTATTGGCTAGTGTGCGAATCATCTTAGGGATTACTTGTGTTACTTATACCCATACACAAGTAGCATGTGTATGGTATGTGTTATCAAAAATAAATAAAGTGGGGGGTTCATTAAACGAAATTAAAAGAGGAATAATAAAATTACACGTAGACTGTAAATAAAAATATTTTTTGCATTAAATATAATATAATATGTCGAAAAGCCACAAAAAACAATGTTAGACTTTGAATTTGAAAATGGTGGGCCGTAGCAAGAAAAGCAAGAGATGTTTTTCATTGCAAATTGAATTTGAATTTCCAATAGTCCTTTGTGGAACTAGTTGGGAAAAGAACTCGCTTGCTCGTTCCGCAGAAATGCGCTCGTTACGGAAAATAGTGTTTCCC